GAATGATGTCCGCACTTGCACGTCTGAATTGTCATCAATCTCAAGCATTTCAACTTGTGCAGCTCATTGAAACTCAATATGCGAAAATGGACACGATTCAACATGGAATCTTGAAAATGAAGAAAACGAGTTTACTGCAAATTGTTTGGTTATGCAGCCTTGGAGTCCAATGACAACAGCAGTGCTAGTACTGGATGGGTAAAACTACTTTTGTGGTTACGAACGTATACGACAAGACACGAAGACACAGTATTTCTCCTGCTTTATGTGTAAGATTTAAGTGTACAAGATGACAAGAGATGCCCCATTGCATTTCAAATGTCTTAAGATAGCGTACTATTTTAGTTTTCTTGACTAAGAGAAATGCACTACTAGGATGTCACCTCACGTTCCTCCACTATCCAATTCGTCGTTGTGTCTGAGAATGACCCTGATTTTTGCACTCTGTTTCTATCTCAAAATGTTCGGAGCTTATCATACACTTGTTTCCACCGAACAAAAAAAACTGTTTAGCGCCTTGTCCTTCAACCACTTCACCATCTCTATTCCCAGCATCGTTCTATCAATGAAATCGAAATAATGTTTGAACTCCCAATAGAGCTCGTATGAAACAACCATTTTAAGGTTATGCAACTGCTTTTCTTCCTAAAGTATTGACCTGAACACATTGACCAAATTACTTTTGCTCAATACCTTTTCAAACACTTGAAACTGTGCTTGTTCCTCCAAAGCCGCTTTAAACAACTTCGCACGATCATTGTCCAGTACAGCCACCCTTAGAAAAAACACTAGATTCATATCCTTTAACACCATATCGAATTTCTTCGCCCATTCCTTATCCACCAATTCGCTCTCGAGTTCGTATTCGCTGTTCTTGCTGCTCTTGCTGTCCAAAACCAATCTAAATTTATTCAAATGCTCTTCATCCCTTAGAGCTTCTTTAAGCAATTCCACTTTTTTCTGATCGCTGAGAATCGCTTGGAACGGCTTCACTGGATCTAATTCCGTACTGCTCAGCATGTCTTCAACCAACGTCAAACGTCCTGATGTCTCTACAGCTTTTTCAAACAACTTGAGACGGTCATCATTCAAGGACGCTTCGAGCAACCGCAATCTGTCCTCATCGGTGACCAACAATTAGAGCAGTTTCATAACCTCACCTTGATCATGGTTCATGTCAACTTTCTTCAGAATCGATGTTGAATACACCGGATCCTTCAAACCCTCAAAACTCGCATGGAGTAAACTCAATTGATTCTCGTCCTTGAGCACCTTTTGAAGCGATTCTACCAGTTTTTTGTCGATCAGCAGCGCCTCAAACGTTTCCTCCATTTTTTTATCGTTTAACTTTTCTTTAAAAGCAGCAGCATGACTCTTTTCCATCAAAGCCTCCCTCATCAATTTCGCGTTATCTTCAGAACTTAATGCAGCTTTGTACAAACGGATCTGATTGTCATCAATCTGCGACCAATCGAAATCTCTAAATAGTTTAGCTCTTTTGGCAACTTCCTTAAATAGTCCCTCCAGATCCTTCATCAAAAGTTTCAAATGATCATTTTCAAAGTATTGATCTCCCATGAATTTACGGACTTGAAGCTTCATAAATTCTGGAAATCTTGCCTCATGCTCAATGTAGTTAAAACGAGTAAAAGCAGCGAATCTAAGCCAGAAAACGAATCTGTTGGGCGGAGAAATCCAGTCATAATTGCAATGAAACGGCACAAGATCAGCATGTACCAATGCGTATAAACGATACGCTAGCACGAAAGTCTTCTCATTTTGCGAAAAACTTCTCACGAGACGGTCAATATCTTTGGTAGTCTCTGAAACTCCATAAGTTCCAAGCCAAGTTATCAAATCACCGCCTTTACGTTTTTCAGTAAGGAGTCGGGTGACATCTTTTGCGACTGCATCTGCATTAAACTTCTCAATGTTTTCTGGGTCACATATTTTGCAGGCGTAAGATAACAGAGGAATGTGTAGCTTCAGGTCGAAGAATTGATCAAGAGATCCGGTACTTGCCTCCCTCATCAAAAATGCGAATACTGTTGATAATTCGGTATTAGATGTGAGGAGCTGTTGCTGCACCTTCTCGGATATCTTACTTTTCATGAGCAACTTGGGGATCAACCCGCCGGCGATGAATTTTATCTCTTCATCTGACCGAACATGCTCCATTAGGTCATTCATTAGATCTTTATGTTGAACTGGATCCCATTTTTTGAGCTCAGCAGGTCGATCGCATCTGCTATAGCGCGCGACTCAGGTTTGATGTTCGCATCTTTGGATAGCAATGGGGTAGATAAAGGCAATGGAGCCTTCTTTCCAAAGAAAGAAATCCATCCTTACTTCCCCATCAGTTTCATTATTGTCGGTGTTGTCTTGCTTACTATCATCGTAGCTCTCCGACTCTACATCAGCAGCGGTCGAGC